CAGAAGGGGTCACTTCGGTCTTCCTGGTCTTTGTCATTAATATATTTCTGCCTATGCTTTTTTTAGCCGTTGAGCGGCTGATGATGGGGGTCGCGAGCGAGTCCCAAGACACACCGGAACGAGTGATTTTCCGTCTCGATCGGTGGGCAAGGCAACGAGCCCGTGGCGCTCTGGCTAGAGCGTTGGATATCTAACTAACAAGATCGCGGGTTCGAGCCCCGGGGTTCCGTCACCCCTGGGACTAGGCATAGCTGGCAGATGATGACGGTTTTCGGTCTCTGTCGCTGGAGAAGAGAATGCGTGGAGCTTTCCAGATTCGCTGCCCCCTAAGCTTCACCCATGGTGAGGTACTGTCCGTGTCATTATTGAGGCCGGCTAGATCTGACAGTATCACAACCATATCAAGTAAACAAAGTTAATAAGCCAGAAATGGCTTGATGGGGAATTTATCAAAAGCAAACATATGCTCGCCAATTTATCTTATAAATTTTACTTTATAAATCTGTCTATGGTTCCGCTTTAACAAAGGCCATTTATTTGCTGTTGTAATACTTCCAGGGACGACGTAGCGCGGACTGTTTTCGCGCCAAAGAAATATTCGTGCGAAATTTACGAGTTAAGCAACTCCGTTTTGGGAGAAGGGATGAGGAAGTAAACAAATGACGGCACCCGTGGAACACTCTCCTACCCGAAAGACGTGTTTGACAGTGTTTGCCGTATTGTCGTGAAGGGTGTGACCGACTACTGTGCGTGGCGATGGGCAAAAAGTACCCAAGCTCGTACAACAACACATTCAGTGAGACACAGAGACCCGGTGAGCAGTGGTCAACTTGCATTTGGTAATGCACAGGTTATCAGACCTGCGGGAAAAAAGACGATACGAGAAGTAACGCAGCCCTGGTGTTCTGATGTCCACTCAATAAACCCCAGTCGATCAGGCACTAACATACAAGGGGCATAACAAAGTGACTAAGACAGACAGACGGACGGACATACCACAAGATCAGCAGTGCACGGTCTAATTTTGTGGCCTCTAACCCTGGGGATGCGCGGAAGTATGGGAGCGAAGCGTGGATACTGACATCTATTTTATCTCGGCACAGGGTCCAAATTGTACCGTGTAGAGAGAGAGAGAGAGAGAGCGAGAGCGAGAGCGGCGACTATCTTATCGATTTAATCCGTTTGATAGTCCTTCCACTGCGGATGACACAGCGAGAGCTCTCGTCTGCGGGATACAGCGGTGACCAGAATTGCGTGGATTGCTTTAAACTGCACACCCTCGCCATTCAAATGCACAAAAAATGTGTGTTCAAGGCCATTAGCAAGGCAACTGGATGCAAACACCGGCCTAGTGTAGTCTCTGCCAGACAGATGTCGCCACGCTTCATCAACTCCGTCCTTAGGGGCTAACGCGCAACAGCGTAGCCTGCCAAACGCCTGTTGCACAGGTCATATGACAGCCGATTTGGTCGACTGCACGGCAATGAACTCGGGACAAGAACCCAGCCCGCAAGAAAGATCACGTTCACGCACGCACGTACACCAAGTCCTGCTTTCCTCATCTTTATCTTTTGCTCGCAGCAACGCATGCCAGGTGCAGCAGAACGAAGGCAAAGCTCTGCTTGAGACAGAGAAAACAGGAGCTCGAGGGACGGCTGGGGTGGCTTACCAGTTTGCTAAAGAGACAGGGCACCGATTGGACCACACCGAGGCGCACACGCCAGTTTTTGCCTTGCCAAAGATTGACCAGGCTGGGGAGGAGGGTGAGCTGGATTTCGCTGGCGGGCATTAGGGCCATGAGTTCGGAGAAGTACTCAAACACGTACTGCTTTGGCTGGGGGAGAAATAGAAAATACCAAAATCAGATGCGGTTAAAAAGACTATAAGATCAAAAGAGAGAACAAGATCCGCAGGGCGGTGAGTTGGTATGCATGTACGTCTGACAGAGGCCACAAATAGTATTGCTGGCAAAGACAAGAGCCGTTTCTGGCTTAAAAGCCGTCGTCAGCCAGTCACAGACAGACTCAAGTAGTGCGTCGACCGAGTCTCGAACGCGCAAACTTTTGATCAGGGTCTAACGCCCTAACCACTGAGCCACGAGATCGTTGTCTTGACGGCTCAGGTCGGGAGATATTGACAGAGGCGGAAAGGGACAAGTGAATTCTGTTAAGGGTCGGTGAACGTTCGTCAACGAGAGGCCACGAATTCGGGTTGATCAGGTGTATGGCCACTGCCGCAGTGACCATTGCAAATATCCGCTGACGTAGCAAGCACAGTGTTGCGTCGGCTGCAGAGCACTAGTTTCAACTTAGCAGCTGGCGAGCACGATAGCAGCGTGTAGAAATTCGCTCCTCACGGATTCCCTCGGAGAGACAGCATAAGAAGCAAGTCCTTCTTCTCAGTCGTAAGGCTGACCGACCCAAATTCGCGGTCACAGAAGGTATTTACACAGGTCCTAAGACGAACTCAGTGAGTGTTCACACCTCCGGCCAAGTCAGGCCACAGAGACGAAGCAGAAACAAAACTATTTGTCTGAACGCACCTCACTGTTTAAGGGATGTTTAAATGTTTGTCTCCTTATTCTCCCTTGAATTATCATTAAGGGCTGATGAGGAATAATCGAAAGCATACTTTCGCCGAACTTGACTTCTTACTATGCATTTCACGATGCATGGGGAATTAGGGTCAACCAAGTACGAACTATAGATACTGTCAGTTAGAAATAGGTACGTCCATGATATCAGCAGAGCTATCTGTTTTCAAAAGATACGAATAATGATTATTCCACAAATATTGAAATTAAGCACTCAGGACATGACGGTCAGGGACACCACGCAAAATCAGCATTTTAGTCGAAGACAACCATTTTCAACGGAATAACTGTCACATTCCGCCTGCTGTTTTAATCGGTTGTTTTCCAGGTACCTTGGATCAAGCTACGCATCTCGCTTCCTTCAATCGGTAAGTGTTATTGTCGCCTTTTTCGTGTCGTTAGATCATCTTGTGCAATTTTTGTATCGTCTCCTGCAGACCAGTTTTGTAACATTTTCCCGTCGGTAAATTTTTTTTAAATCTTGATGATGACCCAACGTTTCCATCGTTATTTTTTGTACCGATCTGTAGTTATTTGCATTGTGACACTATATCGTGCCGTTCGAACCTATCTCTTTTCATATCAGTTAATAGAAATACCTATTGCCTCAAGTCACGGACAATCTTCGAATTCATGGTTAAAACCCGACATCGTCGTATGCGCTCTCTTTTTAGGAACACGACCACTGACAACCAGTACTTCAAGGACGTGTTTTTATAACGGCTGCTCGAATCTATCCACAAAAAATCGCGGCTTTTGGCTGTGACAATTTAGACGCCACTCGAAGCTGGCTAAAATGGCCACTCGTATGGTGGAGGATGCGCGTTTGTCCACCACAACGGGTGCGCAGGTCTATAAAAGTCTGCGTCTGTCTCGGGTCTTCACTTTGTCATGACATCGGGTACAGATTCGGGGAGAATGGGGTAGATCCAGCGAATCTACTCTCACTATATTCCCGCGGGAGTCACCGCGTCTGCCTTATACCTCCAACTATCCCATTCAAGTTATGTCTCAAGAATGGAAGTCACTTGAATAGGCGACAATTCATTTTTTGGATGAGGGGACAGCCTCTTCCTCCTCCCCCCTTTCAGTCAATATCAGTCAGTATATTTGAAGTAAATGACCGAAGCTCTTAAAAAACTCAATTGAAGCGGTACAGGAATGCATAAACTGCAGCGAAATATGCAAAAATGGTTTCAGATCGCTTTTCAGGACAGATCTGTGATTCTGAACCGTAACGTAGAGTTCAACTCACCACCACCCACTCATCCGCCGGGACGCTGCATAACTGCGTAATCCTCATTTCAAGAACAAACAATAACCTTAGCACTGTAT